CCTGGTTTCAATTCTTTTCAGGCGTGGCTCAAGTTTTTCCAAGGGGCCGAAGGCCCCACTTACACTCTTACAAAAGGAAGCGCTGGCGATGCTCGACTTTTCTGACTAATAACTCTATGCATCTGTTTTGTTTTGTATCTATAGTTTTGTCTCCCGTCGCACCCCCAAGTCACACTCCTTAATCACGTATATAATTCTAATGTATCCTACATATCCGCTATATTATAATGAACCATAGTTTTTGCTTGTAAAGTTCTGGCCAGGCCTGCATAAGGGTCCCCAAGCCTCGATAATAACGGCAAATCGGCGCCAAATCCGTCATATTTGGCCAGAATTGGTGAGACCGGAAAGGGACTTACCTAATGTAGAAATCCACCACAATCACCGACAATACTCGGATTAGCGAGAATTATCTTGTATTCTTCGCAATTCAGAACTTCGGGTTTTCCTGATGCCTACGAGGTGGATGCCACCGGCGGCACCTTGTACTGCGCGCGGCGGCGCGCTTGGACGGCGGCGATGAGGGAGGAGCCGGGGCTGCTGACCGCCTGGCAAGATGAGCAGCTGGGTGAAGGGCGGAGCATGGAGTGTCCGTGAAGCAGTGTCACACAAAATATTGCGACCACGTGTCTGTCACACGGCGCGTCGCCGCCTCTTGGCGCGTGAGCAAATTCTTGGACGGAGTTGCCAAACCTTTAACCACTCCGTGGAGTTCGCGCCCTCCTTCATCTACTTCCAGCTCCTTCCTCTTTCATTCTACCGCGCGCCGTCGTTCCGAAGTCATCTCCTGATGTTCACACGCACAGTTCGACGCTGCTTCTCCCGGACACTGCTCCTTGCCTTTCCTCCAGCACTGCCAGGCCGGCGCGTTGCTGTCTCGGCGCTGAGAATATGCTCATCATGCATATATTTTAATTGTTACCGCTGTCTCTACCGTTACTGTCAAGTACGCGCCGCACTTGACACGTACGTTCGGTATAACCACCCTGTGTAATAATGTCATGCTCATACTACTGCAGACCCTCTCGTCTGACTCGGAATTCGGGAATAGACCATATTTGACTCCGCGTCTGATCGTTTTTATTATTCTTTGTGCGTCAATTTCTTCGCATCCGCCTGTTCTTCCTCGCAACGGGTATCTCCAAGCAGAGTATGAGCATTTTCATAGTACACACGCTGCTTTCCTCAATCCATGTGCTGGGAAACCAGATCAGTTGTCTCGAGCAGCAATATGCAAGGATCCAGAGGCTGTGACATCCGAAAATTACGAGCGACATTTCTGGCGACCGGCGAGTTCTTGGTGAACCGTAGGCTCGAATCCAGCCTGTCGGTAGACAGGTTGGTCGATCTGAGTTTGAATTTGGGACACGCGCGAGATACTCCATTTGGTCTATTTCTAAGCAAAATTTTGGCGGGGCGGGTTCGAGTCCTAACAACAACATTTAAAAATTCATTTTTGTGAGCCAAGCACTGCGAATTTCGGCTTCGGATAAGGACGCATGATCTAAATAGACTCTTCCGAGGCTCCAAATGTTAGAATTTAAACGAATTGAGCGAGCAGGATGCAGACCGAGTCTGCTTACAAATATGCACAAATGGCATAGACAGACCATTGATAGGCTTGCCTCCATAGATAGACCAGTGACTGGTCTAGGCGAATCGATATGGCTGACCTTGAACTACTTCCTGAATGAATCTATGACTGTTTCAACTAAGTAAACACGGCTGAACATTGGAAATTTCCACGGAAAAATAACAAGGACTAGAAGAATATATCCGCGGCGGCGGGGGAGTTACTGGTAGCCCCAGATCTGGCCAGGCCCCATGGTTTCGGTCAGTATGCCCGCCCAGCGTTCCCTGTTGTTATCCCTGCGATAATCATAGGGTTCGGAAACATAAACCTGGGATGGCAAAAAGCGCGAAGGCTCCAATGGTATCTCCGAGCTCCACATGTGGCTGAGGATAAGGTCGAGCGCCTTCAATCGAGTGGTGTGATTCGGGGGGGTACCACAGCGGGATTCAATCAGGTTCTGCAGAACGGGATGGTCTGAGTCGGTGATATCGATGCTCCCCAGCCGGAGACGTATGAGGCTGGGGCACAATGGGGGGATCGGAGACGACGGTGATGCTATTAATTCACCGAGGATAGGCAGGAGCCCGACTGGGCGGACGGGATGGTCTATTAATGCAAGCTTGGAGAGTCCGGGGGCTCGCCGCAGGCATCGATGTAAAAATCCGATGTCACCCGTCGGCTGATCGAGGTACAGCGAGCGAAGAGAGCACGAGGAGCGCTCAACAAGCTGGTCGAGGGCGATCATTATATCCGAAAGGACGGGGGGATCATCGAGCACCGGAGTATCAGGAGTTTGGAGATTCCAGATTGTAAGCTTCTCGACCGCGGGGACGATGAAACTGTCCAGAATGCGCGCCAAGTTGAACACCGCATCCACCGCCGATGATGCCCGCACAGAGAGCGTGTGTAGGTGTGGAAGTGTAATCCGGCGAGGGGCAAATACCGAGACCACAGCGAAGGGGCCCGCAAGGGGCACCCGATCGGCGGGTAATGCCAACCGACAGCTTTCCAGGTTTACACATTGCTCAATCAGGTCCAGGGTCTGTTCGATATCAGGAGTGTAAAATGATGTCTGGGATTCCAAATGGAGGTCGGTAATGTGATGCCACGAGCAGGCAGGGAGCCGTTGGCCGGCGATGCGCTGAAGCGAGAAAGTGCGCAGATTGGGTGGGACTGCATAGAAGTTCACATACTCGTGGCCTGGTCCTGTAACCCAGCTGTTGTCAACAATTTCGATCGCTTCGAGCAACGGTACATCTTCTGGACCCAGGCTAAACAGACTATCAAGATCGTGGTCCGGGACCTGGAGGACGGTAATCGCCTTCCAGCGTCGGCTGTAGCTGATCACTGTGTCCAGAAAAGGCCGTGGTACCATGCCCCAGGAGGATCCATGGAACAACGAGATCGATAATGAGCAATCGCCGGAGCGTTGGAGCCAAATCTGAAGGCCCTCACTACGCTTCATGACATTGAGATCGTGGAGCAAGCCCTCGTTGGATCCGAGATGGGATTGCTGTATGGGATATGATTGGCGTACGGTGGGAATAACGACATGGACAGAGGCCCACAGCGCGGCAGTCGACAGCGATATCGTCCGCCAAGCGCTGCAAACGCGACCCAGGAGCAGTGGTGCCTCAGAGGTATGCATGATGGCGTTGTGATCCTCCGGCAGGCACGCCATGAAAATTTCCTGCAGAATTTCGGGTGGTACCGCACGCATGGGAGAGATCAGCTCGAGGTGCGGATCCACCCGTCTACGCAGCGCCAGACGCCGTCCATACGAGCTGATGAGTCGATGGTGATCTATGTCGATTTCCGCAGTCACCTTGGAGATCGTCTGTGAACCCTGAGCGCAAAATTCCAGGAGCTGTTTTCGCTCGGTTGCTGAGGGAACGTAGTTCGTCCCAAGGCGATCTTGGAGGTGGTCCATCGAGAGAGACGTCGAGAGAGAGTCCAAGGCCAGGTTCTGCTCACGTATAAGCTCGACGTGGAGCAGGCCTAGGACTGCCATATACGGGGTGTTCCCACTTGCTTCAAGTGTGTCAAGTGTGGCACGTAGCTGTGGGGGCGTCAGCCAGGTATGAGACTGGGGAGGCATGAACTCACGATACTCCAACTCTCGTTCCAGTTGCGTGGTATCCCAGGGACTTCGGCGCACGACCTGCTCGCATTTTAGTGATTCCATAGATCTCGTATTTCGATGGCATTGTCTTACTGGCGGAGGTAGTCTGGACCTAGAAGTTCTTCAAGATTATATGGCCAGCCATCTGGCGAGCGGGGGCTGGCTTGTGGGTCGTTCACGGCGGTCATGGTAAGCTGGTGATACGCATCGGCAACGTGTCAGACTGAATTAATTTGTCAGGCTGAGATCAGATCAAGATCAGAGCTCAAGGGCAAATCCCGAGTTGTACCAGTGACCAGTCTGCCTACTGCAAAGTGCTTGCCACATTTCTGCTACTAGTAAACAGACTGGTTGCGAGTCTAGACATCAAGACCAAACCCGTGAAACGGAAGGTAGAGGATATAAAACACGCCGTTCCGAGGAGCAGACTCTTGAGTCTTAGGCTGGATGCCGGCAAACCCGGTGTCCCGAACAAGGCACAAAACTCTGATGCCGACACCGCACTTTTTACCCACTCTCTTGATAGCATCACCACCGACAACTAAACATGCCTCTCGCCTTTTACTAGAGGCATCAGTGTCGTGTGCTGAGCTACGCTATCTTCCCAATTTTTCTAACCTCAGCTTGTCCTGAGCTTCTTTCCTTTTTTCCTTCTTCCTTTTCAGTGGCCAACCGCCTAACCGCCCCTTACTCTCAGGAATATAATAGAGAACTCATTCAGCGGCCCACTTTCTGCTGGTAAAAATCCTATCCACAGGACTCGGTATCCTCTGACTGGCGAACGAGAGGGATATCTCTGAATCGTGACAAAAGAAAGGAAAAACACTGCTACCAGCTACTGTACATTATCACCAGGCCCTAGAATCGAACAGGGTCTCTCAGCATGGCACCGTATTTCCGTTCCTAGTACGCCCGGAGGCACGCCGTGTCCTACCCGGTCTGTATCGAGGATGAATTCATGAGCGAAATTGAACTTGTCGACGTTAACGATAGAAAATGAAAGTGCGGAGGAAAAAAAATGTTAAGATCGATTCATTGGCGGGTAAGGATGAGGGATTTGGAGGTACACAAGTGACGCGATCTGGCCGGAGACAAGAAACGGCACCGAACGGAACGCGTGGAGCGAGTGAACCATGTCGCGCTTCGGACACGGAGTTCTGCGTAGGGTTCCTAGTATACTGAGAGCGGAAATACAAGTGATGTGTATCGAACGCACCGGTTGTGCTCCTCCCAGCCTCCGAAATACCTGGTAGAGGGGAATGAAGACCGACAAAAAGGCCGATATACATTATATTGCTCTGCGAATCACCCGACCCCGAATCGAACGGGGGCCTTCTACAGCCTACATGATTGTCTTTTACTCTCGAACATGTAAGGCAGACGCACCCCATGTGCTACCGGGTGCTGAGATACCCTGCGTTGAGCGGGGATCTATGCGAGGGAAGACGATGCTGGTCTGGGTCTGGGCTGCGTGGTGAATGTTCACGGTCGCAGGCTGAATTTAATGTTCTACTCCATCCCCGAAGCCGGCAAGAGATTGACGCTCTACCGAAATCAAGCGACCCTCAGACGCGAGCCTAGCACCAATAAGTATAGCCGATTGCGCCCAGCCATCGACGACGCTAAATTTGCAGCATTCATTTGTGATCACCACACAACGCCGCTTTAACCCCGCCCGCCGTGCTCCAAAGAAGCCTCTCGCCAACGTTATATTACGCCGCGGCCGGGGTGCGTGCTCTTCTCCATATGGTATGTTCGTTGTTCGAACCGACTCGACATGCATCCTCCGCGGAGGTTGGATTGTTACGCATCGATCGGCGGGGGAGCTCGATTGTCCAGCGCAGCGATTTGAGGCGAATAACGATGTGGGCAAGTGTAACGCTCGCCAAGGCGTACCGCATTTATTTTGGTGGTACATGCGTGGTATATATGAGGTACATGGCCACGAGGTGTCGTAGTGGGGGCGTGAGGATCGTGAATGGAGCAAGTACAACAACATAATGCGAGCGTGGATGGGGTAGAGTACAAGTGCGGATGCTGGTGAGTACATGGTGGAGCCATTGCCAAGGAAAGATGAACGCTCAGAAGCGCGGAGAAGAATCAGTCGGCGGAAGAAGCCCAGCGCCCGCGGCCCGCCAGGACGGCGACGACGACCAGCCACCCCGCGACGCGCGCGACGCTGCCGAGCGCGCCGCGGACGCCGACGACGCTGCTGAACGGGTGCGGTGCGTGCCGGCGCGTCTGCAGCGCGCGCGCGTGCACGAGCGCGGGGAGCGAGTAGTCCGTGGCGTCCTCCTCCTCGGAGAGCGTCCCCGCTTCCGAGAGCGCCGCGGGGGTGCTGGGGTACGACGCGTACGAGCCCGCGGAGGAGGTGGAGCAGTCGGAGGCGGCGGAGGGCGACGGCGAGCGCGAGGGCGGGGGCGTGCGCGGGACAAGCCGCAGGAGCGCGGGGTGCCCCAGCGCGAGGAGGGCGAGGCCCGTCAGGCCCGAGGGCGCGCGGCAGGCGGGGCAGAGCCCGTCAGAGCTCGGGCCGTGGAGCCACTGGCGTGTCCCGTCAGTTCGGACGGATCATGGATATACGTGCCAAAAACGCACTTCAGCTATGTGCTCGGCGCAGAAAAGGTGCGCGCAGCAGAGGGTGCGGACCGGCGCCACCGCGAACTCGAAGCTGATGGGGAGGGTAAGTGGCAAATCGCACGCAGAGTTGGGGCGGTTGCGGAGCGGAAGCGAGGGAGGGGGGGAGGGGGAGAAGCGTACCAGATGCCACAGTCCCTCTCCGCCTCCTTTTGTGCGCTAAGTGCGCTGCGCGTCGGTCGAAAAGCGCGGTGCGCGATGGGCCGCTTGATGTGCGAGGGCTGCGGCGTCGGGCAGGCGGACTCGGCGGCGCCCGAGCCCAGGTCGAGTGTGTATTCCACGTCGTCGTAGAGGCCCTCCCCGAAGCAAGATTCCTCCGGGATGGACGCTAAGGGACCCCAGGCGCGCGTGTGAGATGGGAGTTGCAGCATGGGATGCGACTAGCGAGACGGACCGTTTGGGTGCATTTTGTTAATCACAGACCAGGATCGAGTCGGCCAGAGACGACGGCAAGAGGACAAAGAGAACAATAAGAGGCTAAAGGCGTTCCCTAAGCCTCCCTTTGAAATGCCGATCTTGTGACTGGCACATGTGAATACTAGTCAAAATCCGGGGTAGGCACGGGGTGGCTGACGTAACGGAGCTTATCCGAAATAGGAGCGACAGCGAAGGCTTGACGGTGTTTGCAACGCGGTGGCGGAGAGCGGTAGGAAGGACCGGGCCTGCAGCGAGCAAGGCCACGGGGGGTCCATCCATACAGATTAAAACCCCTACGATCATGATGCCGAGACTGTATTGTGATCAATACAAAGCCTGGCACGTCAAAACGGGGCAGTGCGTAGATTCTTCTGTAGATTGAGGGAGCAGAACACGCGAAGAAGGAAGCTGCGCACCAGCAACGAGATCCTCTTCTTTACCTCCAGCCGCGTTGACTGCGGCCCCCATCATTCAATCGGCGGAGAACGGACTAGAGAGATGCCTGTCTCAGGTGAAGGTAGTCAAGGCTGGGGAGCGCGCGACAGATGCATCAGGGCTGGATGCAGAAATGAATGGGGCGAGAAAAGACCGCATTGATGGGACTCGAGGGTATTTATGCGCGGACCTAAAATAAAAAGTCGAACCACTTCGTGAATTTCCGAATTTCCGTGTCCTGGTCGTGTGAGGCCGGAATGCCCGACGGAAATCTGACTGGCCGACGAGTATAATTGCTGGATTTCCTAGGTACCACGCTGCCCGGCGTTCACACTGGCATTGCCGAGGCGAAAGGCCTGAATGGAACATTGCGCGCACAAAGGCTGAAAATTAGGAACGAACGCCTCGTGGCATACTCATGCAATGCTCACGATAGATTAAATCCAGCCAAAGAGAGTCCAGACGGGGTGGCAAATTCCAAGATAGGTGCGGACGCGGGAACCAGCCAAGATGCGCGTCGAAGTAGAAGAAAAGCTTATGCCACGTTTCAGGGAGATCTAGAAGCGCAGCGAGCACGAACGACTGCCCTAGCCTGAGAGACACAGTGTCCTGACTGTGTGGACAGCATGGGCTGAGCGCTCATGCATCTTGTCTTCAGGCAAATTTATGTAGATACTAGAGAGCGTGCCCGCCGATTTTGAAAAGGATTGTGGCCATCTTGAACGCGGTCAAAGACACAGGGCGAGACAGTGCGCTCCACCACGGTGGTTATTCTTGCGTCATAAAGCTGAGCCGCATCTGGAAATAGGGCTCTCCACCGTCACCGTAAAATACGGCATACGGTACGGGTTCATACGGCAACCCGTACCGTCCCGTATGGCCCTCTGGCGGGATTTGTACGGTTACGGCCGGCCCCGTAAGTGGTGCCGTAAAGTGAGTCGATTTTGCTGTTTCGGCAGCTGCTGCCGCTGACGCGTCGCATATGATTTCCTTTTGATTTCTAGGTGTCGGCTCTGTCGGCTGCGCCGCCTGGAACCTCTTTCCCGTTCAGGAGTTTGAATGCAGCTCCTACAATTGTTGTAGGCTCTACAAGATATATGGCCCGCACCAAGCCCGCACGAACCAAATACCGCGTAGACCGGCATGTGGATCAATGTGCGAGGTATGAGCCGGCACCGGGCGGATCGCTCATCCAGCAGAGTTTTGAATGTCGTTGCCGTGGCAGCTGTCAGCCGTCCGTGCCGACACTCGCCGCGACTTCACCAGCAGCTCCCTCCGATTTCAAGTCTAGTCAGCCTTGAATCGGCTACATTAATCATATCTTCCTCCCCTTGCCTGTTTCTGCCTTGCACCGGCGCGGTACACATAACTCATTCGACAGCCAACCCCCGAAAATGCGAGCATCGGCCTCCAAGAAATTGCGCGAGTGTATCAATAGGTCGGCGGGCAGCTTTGTAAAGCGCGAGACCATTCGAACTTTGATGTTGCTGAAGTATCATCTGCATTTGAAGCGCAAAGGTTGGGCACTCTAATTGGCCCAAGCGCTGTGGATTTCACACTGACGACTATCATATTTAGGGCCCACCCAGGTGCAATTTAAACACCCAAGTGTCGAATTGCACATAGGTGGACCTGAAGTTTGATTTACTTCTAGTACTTTTGGTCCCATTGATTTTGTAACCTAAAATAATAGAATAAAATTACGATTCGGCTGCCATGAAAACCATTCGAAAGCTTACGATTTAGATTACACAAAAGTCCAACTGAGATTGAAAACCGAAATCACACCGATGATTATCATATTTTGGGTGACCTGAAACTTTATTCGAAACTAATCCGAGAAATTTCCCATTGGTTCGGCATTTCCCGGACCAATGGGAAAATTTGCGGACTCGTTTCGAATAAAGTTTCAGCTCACCCAAAATATGATAATTGTTGGTGTGATTTTGGTTTTCAATTTCAGTTGGACTTTCATGTAATCTAAATTGTAGCCTTTCGAATGGGTTTCAGGGCAGCTGAATCATAATTTTATTCTATTACTTTAGGTTACAAAATCAGTGGGACCAAAAGTACTAGAAGTAAATTAAATTTCAGGTCCACCTATGTGCAATTCAACACTTGGGTGTTTGAATTGCACCTGGGTGGGCCCTAAATATGATAATTGTTGGTGTGTTTTGAATTTTTCCGCTTTATACAGCCGTAATGTACCGTAACGTACCGTAAAAAATGCCGTACCGTCCCGTAAGAGCCTCTGGAGATCAGTTTACGGTTACGGATACGGTCGCCTGGTCTGCCGTATGGCGCCGTAAATTGTACGCCCGTAACTATATACGGTACGGTGGGGGCCCCTATCTAAGACTGGAAACACAACCAGTTGAACCACATTTGGATGCTGTCCATCAGTGATGTGGGAGTAGGCACTAAGGGCCGCGGCCCGGCGCTAGGGGTGAGAACCTCCTTCCCTATATGGAAGAGCAAAGGGTTGAAAAATTCGACTCGATATCCTTCTCACGCGAAGTCCTATCAACGGCCATCTCCCCAGAACCAGTGACCACCCTGAACCTGTCAATCCACGGGGAAGGCATTGTGGCCCAATTTAAAAGTCGGGGAAATTCTACAATGGAAGAAGTAACGCGGGACAATTGCAGGTACCAAAATGTTTACCTCAAACCGATTCCCACCGCGAGGGATAACACGGACCTAGATCCCTCAATGATCGACAAAGAGTCATCTGGAATCACAGGAGACGTACCAAGCTCTTCGAGGCCATCGTAGGGAAGTATTCATGCACATTGCTTGCGGTCATACTCTTAATGGCGGCCATCTCGAACTCCACAATCGGCAGCGGGTGCACGGGGAGCGACAACACGTGGGACTCGAGCTGGTTACAGCCGCCGACGTCTAGGTAACTACCGCTG